TGGCTGCCCCATCCCTGGAGGTGTTCAAGGCCAGGTTGGACGGGGCTTGGAGCAACCTGGGCTGGGGGGAGGTGTCCCTGCCCAGGGCAGTTGGAAGTAGGTGATCTTCAAGGTCCCTTCCCACCCAAACCATTCTGCTGTGATTCTGTGATCTCCTCCCAAAATAAAGACCTCTGGATATGGAAGGCCAAAAAGAGAGGGAAGCTGAGGGTTTCGGGGCTGGGCTGTGCGGGGCCGAGAGGCGGCCATTGTTGGTGTGGGGACACGGAGGGGCATCGTAGAACAAGCCCCATGGGCAGTTTCGTTGAGCGAGGGCGCTCTGCTGGCTTTGCGTTTGCCATCCGCGAGTCACCGTGCGATCCCATGCGGGGATGACACCTTCCTTTCTAGTCTCGCTCTTCTTTGCTCAGCGCTTGGCTCCCGTCCTGCCCGCTCTGTCATCTTTCCGTCGAAGGCATTTAACGAGCCGGAGCGAGCTGGGAGATGTTTCTCATATTTGTGAGACAACTCATTGTTGACATTTAAGAAGCGCTGGGCAGCCCTCGCAGCAGCAGTGCACGGCCCCTTTCTCCCCGCGGCTGTTGGAAAGGGTGTGCGGGAGATGGATGGGTGTTGGGCCAGAAGCGTGCGAGGTGGTGACGGTGGGCAGCGGTGATGTCCAGCACAGCGCCTGGGACTGCTGGAGGCCACAAGAGCTCAGCCCGTGCGAAGCAGAGACAGCAGTGGATAAATTAGAAGCACGGCAAACCCTGCTCTGCCCTATGAAAAAAAACCTGTTGTGTGATTTTCTTTGCCTTCACAGCATTGCTGTAAGTACAGCAAAACTAAGTGGCAAAGGCAGAAGCTTCGTTCCCCAGCGTTTCCTTATCTGTGGCCTTAGGGCTGTGTGTCAGCTCCAAGAGAGTCCCCAAATCCCCAGGAGAGGCAGGGAAGGAGAGAAGTGGCTCCTGCTGGAGCGTGTCCAGAGGAGAGCCACGAGGATGATCCGAGGGCTGGAGCACCTCTGCTGTGAGGAGAGGCTGAGGGAGTTGGGGCTGTTCAGCCTGGAGAAGAGAAGGCTCCGGGGAGACCTTATTGCCGCCTTCCAGTGCCTAAAGGGGCTCCAGGAGAGCTGG